GAAGAATCACAGGCAGTCATGTACCAACAGGTAAACACATCAAACAGCAACAATTTCTTTACAAATTCCTCAGCATGTTGAGGCTTTGTCTACATGTCCTGTACCTGAGTGTGGAAATGTACTGCAACACAGTTATTCTCGGAATTAATCATTTATGACCAAGAGTTCCTGTACTCAAAGCCTCCCAACCAAGACCAAGCACATTTGCCTCTGCACAAAATATTTAGCTCTTGAACAATGCACCTTGCAGATAAGACTAATCTAGTAACCAGTATATATGATAGAAATGCACAAAAACAAGTACACCTTTGCTTATCTGATGGGAACAGCGGGTTATTTTTTTCACAGCAACTGCCTAGCTTACTCCTGGTGGTTTTATTTTTTTGTGTTTTTTTTTTTTTTTTTTGTTAAATGCCATTCCAACTAATACACACATGCTGAACAGTAAGTCTGCAAGAGCGTTTGTTTTTTTGTTTTTTTTTTAGTGGAATTGATTTGTTCATTTGATTTTAGAAGGATTTTGTTTGTTTGCATTTTCATTTGATTTTTAGAAGGATTTTGTTTGTTTGCATAAGATACATACACATGGACAAGGCTGACCCTTATTTGATCTCCTCGCAATGGGTTTGCATCTTGTTCCAGAAACAGAGTATGAGGAAAAGTTGGCACAAGCCATGCAGTACAGGAGCACGCATGCACACACACACACACACACAGGCATATTATCAGCCACTGGGTCACCTAGACCCAAAGGTCAATATGAGGGTTAAGTAGAGGGCTGTAGAAACACAAAAGCTGGTAGACCACAGATTAATTAGCTCCAATCCTTAGATGCAACACAGAATAGGCCAAGGAATGACAAAAAGAAAACAGGAATGTACATTGGTAAATGTTAAGGATTTCTGATATTAACTTTTTGCCATTATCCGATAGTCTGATATTAACTTGTTGCCATTATCCGATATGCTGTATTACCACTGCTCACTAAGGTGATAGGTTCATTTCTGATAATATTGGTCAGCTGATATTATCTCAGGTCTGATAATATTGGTCAGCTGTTATTATCAGACATCCCAAGTAAATGTTTTTAGTTTTTCCATGGTATTATGATTCAGCAGATACCCAATTTGCTCAAGTCTGATCATGTCCATAGGCAGGACTTGCTAGTTGTGAGATTTTATCATGCACTGGAAGAGCATCTGCAGTCACATTTCTTTCCAGCCAGCTATACAATCTTAAATTTAAAACCTATCAGATTTGTTTTCCTGTGTAACATGTTTTTTCTTGGAGCTAACTGTTAGATTGCATCCTTCCCATTTTCCGATTCACATAACACAGCATCTGATACCCACTTCCTTATTTTAAATTTGTTTTTACTTGCTGAATGACAGCTGAATTACGTGCATACACCCACGTAGTATCCTTTCATTAAAGCAGTATTTCCCAAACTTTTTTCTGGGGACCCATATCTGCTTTTTTTTTACCCACCTATAGACTATAATTAATCAAAAAGACATCACATATTTGGTTGAAAGATAAGGATCAGCATCTCTCTATCTGATAGATAGATAGATAGATAGATAGATAGATAGATAGATAGATAGATAGATAGATAGATAGATAGATAGATAGATAGATAGATAGATAGATAGATTGATTGATAGATTGATTAACCCTTGTGTGGTGTTCGGGTCTGTGGGACCCGTTTTCACTTTTTAATAAAAGAAAAATGATATAATTATTTAATTTTTCAAACTGAGACTCACTGGCTTTGGCTCATTTTCTGTGAAGAACATATATCAGAATACATATTTAATGACCACACACCATACACCCCCCTACACATTTCTATTACATATATATATATTGTTTATACTGCTTGTAATTGGGATAAGGTAAACATCTGTTCAGTATTTTAACATAAAAGTGTTGATTGTGAGGCATGAAAAGCCACAAAATGCAACGGGTCCATCAGACCCACAAACACTGGCTGAGTAACAACAATATGAACATTACACAAGGGTTAAAGGTGATGTTGATACCGGCAGAGTGGAAGAAGGGAGGTGTGATGTGGTGGAACTTGGGTGGTAGGCCACTGAGAGAAGGAGCGGAGGAGGCTTCTCCACTCCCCCCTCCTCTGAGCTGGTCTTAGATTTATGGCCTGTTATGGTTCCTACACCATCCCAGAGTTTCTGCTCCACTTTCCTCCTGCAGGTGTCCTTAGCCTCCTTCAGGCAGCGTTTCACCTCCTGCGCTGTTCTCATCTCCTCCCTGTTGTTACTCCTGAAGGCTTCCTTCTTCCTGTTGAGGACAGCTTTGACTTCCTGTGTTACCCATGGTGTGTTATTAGGGTAACACCGTACAGTCTTTAAAGGGGCAACCACATCCAAACAGAAATTAAGATAACCCGTGAGGCGGTGGGTAGTTTCCTCAATGTCTGTATCATCTGGACTCATCTTGACACCCAGTCTGTGGTGTCAAGGCAGTCTCTCAGTTCATCCTCAGCTTCAGGAGTCCATCTCCTGATGAAGCGTTTGACGATCGAGACTAAAAATGCATCAAAACACAGTATAGTATAATAGCTCTTAGTATAAACTATTGGTAAAAAAAACTCACCACACTCAAAACAGGAAATGCTAAATGGTGTACATTCCTTGAGTCCTTGGTCTTGGAAAAAGCCTATGAGGAATGTATTTGCTTTTCCTTCCCCCAGCATAAAAACATGTGATGGTTCACTTGTTTTACAACATCTGATCTAAGCATTAAAATACTTAAGGTGGAAACTTTACAAAAAAAAAAAAATGCAATCGCAATATACTACTATTACATTATTAAAATACAATATGGGCATGAGCATTTAATCCTGTTTATTATTTTAGAAACAAAGTATTGAATGCAATATAAACCTCCACGGAGCAGGTGGTTCAGTGTAATCAGTAAAGGGCCCTGCTCCACCGCTTCATCCATTTGACAGCCTCTAGCCCACAAAAATTTGAAAACACCTCTATTATAACATAAGAACACCTAGACTGTTGGATAGAAGATATGAAAGAAAATATTATGGAAACATTATAGTTGACACTACTTCTTCACTTTTTTTCAGATAACAATGTAATAGTCTATCAGAAACATATGACTTTGCAACAAAAACTTCTATTAATATTACTTCATATTTATATATTATATATAGTATTGAAATATTGATAATATAATAAGATAATATTTTTGCTAAATATTTAATTATATTACCACTGTAATTATGGCTGTTTTGATAACACTTTTTACAAATCAATATGATTATTTTTGTTTGTGTAATAGCTGATACTAAGTTGAGTCACCAACACTTCTTTAGACCAAAATGTGACTTAGTTGGTAGCAAACACTTCATCTATTAACTATGCAATTAAACTAGGTATGACGTTATCCGATACTGGTCAAAATTCTGTAATCTAATCTAATACCGAGGAAAAAATCAATCATCAAACAACTACAAAATGTGTGATCCCAGCAAATAACCATTTCAACATCAGATAAGATAATTATTTATCCCACACTAGGAAAATTCAGCCATTATAAAGGCTGGGTAGACACATACAGTAATGAAAAAAAAGTTTAAAAGTTTAACACACAATGTTAAATAATAATTAAAAAAAAAAACATTTAAGCACCAGAAACCATAAATGATCTCAGAAGACACAAGTCAATAATGTGGTCATATTTAAGCATAGTTTTTTGATGTGACAACTCCAAAGACTGACATCAAATGCAAACACATAAATGCATGAACCACAACAAAAAAAAAAACTCAGCATAAAAATCAGACAACAAAAATGAAAATAGCATATTGTAACCCTGTTACATCTCAAATTTCACTAACCAACAGCTGAGAAGACACTTAAAAGAGTATTAAGTAGAAAAGGAAAAGTGTACCAAAGGGATAAGTACTACAACATTGAATGCTGTGATTGTTGTTCCAACTAATTCTAAAGTGAAACAAATGTTTATTTGCTGTAAGCTTAGTAGGACACTGTAGAGAGATAAAATGTACCTTTGTTCCTGCCAGCACAAATCTGCACACTGGATGTTTTACTGTATTGTTAAACTCTCTTGCATTCATGTTTACTTGTTAGAGGCTCTTTGGTATTCAAAACCACAATGGGTCATGATCAAGCTGGGCCTCTCATAGGGGTTGGACAGGGGTGATGTGGGTTGGTCCTTGGCCTAGTGCCAGTCACATTTCCCAGCCATCTTCAAACATAAGCAAAAGCTCCCACTGGTGGACTGTACCATGGAAACTATAGGGTGTTTTTGCTTAACCTTATTGTATCTTTTGTAAATGTAACATTAGTTGTTCTTTGAAAAAAAGAACAAAACAAACAAAAACCTGTAACTATAGCAGTTGTGCTCATTTTTATGATTTATGTTACATGTATGAGCATATCTACTACTACTTATTAACACAAATAAGACTATGGTATCTCCCTTCCATCTTCTGCCTACTCTATATGTGTGTTATTTACTCCTTCTTAACAATTGAGTCTATAAATAGACCTACAGCTCACCCTCCACCATCTAAAATGAGTGGAATGTCTCATTGCTAATCTGAGCTACAGTGTCTATCTGAGACAGCACATGCGGTCATTGCTAACAAACGAAACAGGTCGGTGGTGTTGTCATACCCTAATAAATGTTCCTGTTGTAAATGTTTAACTGCAAATTATATAACTTGGTCTTTAAACTATGGCTGGACTGATGACTACTGCTTCTCTCTTTTTCTTTTTGTGGCCATGAATAACTAACAAATAAACTACAAAACCTATTTAACCTTTTTTTCAGGATAGGTTAATGTCCATTCGAAATTTGACAAGTTTTATATACGTTTTTAAAAAAAATATGGCTACGCCGGGACAGTGGTTTTCGAATTACTCACAAAAATTGAATTCTCAGACGTTTGCGGACCTTAGGCATTAGGGAGACATGATGGCATTGGTGGAATGAAAAAGTGACTGTCCGTGTGTGCTATAACGTCACCGGCGGACGCTCCTTATTTGGTCAAGCTTTACACACGGTCACACGGTTAAAGCTGGCTTACCGATGGGAATTCGAGAAGTAGCACAGACGGTGAGCGTGTCCCACAGTGAGGAAGTAAAATGGACTTCTCTTTCTGCTACATCTTATTTTATCTTTACTTACACTGCACCTCTGCTTCAGGTGAGTTAGATACTGATTTACAACATAGATATCCAAGTGGATTTTCGGTCAATTTGGGACTCCGTTTAATCAATCGGGGGTTTTATTATTATCTTATTGACGTTTCTTTTGGAACTAATGAGAGAGAGAGAGAGAGGGAGAGAGAACTAATGAGAGAGAGAGAGAGATAGAAGGAAAGAAAGAGAGAATGACTAATAATGTTCCCATAAGTGGATACACTGATTTCAAGAGAAAAATGGAAGAGAGAATGATTAGTAATGTTCCCATAAGGGGATACACTGATTTCAAGAGAAAAATGGCTATTTACAAGAGGCAAATTACAAGAGCCTAATCGAAAAAATTAACTTACACTTTTAACGTCTTGATGGCAATTTTATGCTTAGGATTACGTGATGAAAAGCTGTCACATTCCCAGTCACCAGAAAGGCATTTTAAAATAGTTTGGGAATCATTAATACCGCGTGTCATAACACAAAAGTAAATAATTCGATGGGTAAAATGTAAAATGTTGCACAAATACGTCGCTGTTTGGAAGTACTGGAGCCTCCCTAGGTTCTCACAAAACCGTCAGTAATTGTTTCAACATGCGCGTGCGAACACACAAACACCTCGCCTTTTGTAAACATATATGGGGAAAAAACGTTGTTTTAATTTTTTTTGTTTTTTGTTTTACCGTACCCCGAACTTATGTACAAAACAGTATATAAATAGTTATATATATACATATATATATATTAATATATAAAATAAAAAAGTATAGTACCTTGAGTTAGGAAAATGCCTGCAATTGCCTGCATAAATGTCGCAGTGTTATATCGTATTTTATGAGCATTGTTAACCTTATAGTAATATACATACACATACATATATATATATAAGTAATAAAATAATTTATATTATCAAATTATAAAAGTATTATAACGGGGCTATTATTCATTCATTTATTTAATAAATGTAAAGTCCGTGGGTTCTTCTTACTCTATCCCAAATATACAATTGTTACATATCGTAAATAAAACCTAGTTAGTGGGTTAGTGCGATCAGCAGGTTTAAGTGATTTACCTTAAATTAAAAGTAAAAAAAAAATTAACAGTAAATATCCGTATTATTACTTTAGATATTTGAAAGCAAGCATTCAGTATATACACATAATATTTATTTAATTTATTTTATAATATCAATTTCATAATATTAATTTAATAAAATACTATCTTTTCTTTTCTTTTCTTTTTTCACAGATAACACTTTTCCACAAGCACAGAATATCACATGGAAATCTGTTAACTTTAAAACTATCCTTTCTTGGGTGCCGAAACCATCGTCCCATTACGCCTACACGGTGGAGTTCTCAGTGTGAGTATCTGCTTCTCTTTCTTCACGACCGTTTGCTCAGACTTTGTTTGTGTGCTGACCCAAGTGCAACCTTAAAGTAATGGATTCAATGGATTAGTCAGAGTGAGATAAGAAGCCATTACTTATTTTATGCTAGAGGTCTTTAAACAGAAAAGTTACGTAAGGGGAAGTTAAAACTGCACAAAATGTAAAACATTCCACTAAATAAGTCATGTATAGCATACAAATTAAAAACGATTAGCAGCTAATTGACATTCCAAATTAAATATCTATTGAAATAAATAAAGGGCGCTAGAACTGAAACAATTTGCTTTAGAACACCGTTGATTTCAGTCAGATAGTTGTTTTTCTGATTATAGCAATGTCACTTGAACACAGCACTCACTACAGGCCCTTCAGGGCTCTTGGATAGGAGCGCCTGAAGCCTGATCTGATTTTTAAAAATGGCAAACAACACAGTGCTGACTAAAATACAATACTTATTATGTATTATCTTTTGTATATTATTCGTTATGATATTGGAGGTATTGGAATTATGTCATATTTTCCTGATAAGGGCAGATAATTATCGCTCAACCCCCTTGTATATGTGTTGCTGTCAAATTACATAAACAATGTGATTTGTTACAGACTTGGTGGGAACAAAGAGAGAAACCCTCACTGTATCCGTTCATCTGCAAACCTGTGTGATTTGTCAAGCTCAATGACTGACCTGAATGCCTGCTATACAGCAGACGTCCTGTCAGAGCCGCCAATGGGGGTCACCTCTGACCTCATTGAGTTCCCCTACACCAGCTCACCACAGTTCTGTCCCTACAAAGACAGTACGTAATATTATTTGATCTGATCTTATCTTTAAGGTATTGTTTGTGGAGTGCAATATTTTGAATATACAGTATTTGATATAATGCATAATAACTTGCACATAAGAACTATGCACAACTAGTAAAGTAAAGTTGTAGTTGTGGTCAGCATGAATCTGAAACAAAAAAACAACAATGCATAAGGTCTTAATGTCTAATTTGCAAACTTTTATTTAATTTTAAGTGTACTCTCTTACAGAGTGGTTAACAAATTTCAAGGTTTATTTTTGTTTCTTGTTTGTTTAGACTAAAATTAAATAATACAATGAAATAGACAAATTCAAATAAGGATAATTAGAAGCAAATGTTAAACTTATAAATACGTATCTGCGACTTAATAAATATTTTTTTTGTGAATTGTTTGCCTAAATTTAATGACGACGTCATTTTTAAACTGTGATATTTTGACACGTTTCACTTTCTCACCCTCTCAGCGGAGATAGGCCGACCAGATTTCAAGCTGAAAATGAGTCAGGATAAAAAGACGACCACACTTTATGTGACGGACCCACTCACTGCTGTATTCAAAGACGATCAGCAGCTAACTATCAGAGATGTCTTCTCTGACCAGCTGCAGTATAAGGTCACTTACCGAAAGAACAAAAGCACTGGCAAGGTGAGCTAAGGCAGACTTGATATATGAAGTTATATATAAGAACCATGTGTGATTGCATTTTTTTGCTCTGATGTTTCCAGAAAGTACACTTCTCACAAACCAACATAATAGAGATGACTGACCTTGACAGAGGAGTGAGCTACTGTTTTAATGTTCAGGCCTTCTTCCCGAGTCGCAGTATTGAAAAGCAGCTAGGGGAGTTAAGCCACACTCAATGCTCTGATGACAACAACCAATCAATCTTTGAAGGTAAGCTGCGTTGGCAAACAGTAAAACAAAAACGTTACATTTCTTTCTGGTGCAGATTTGATCTTCAGATGTGTGTGTAGCTTTTTTTCACAGTGGTCTAAAATCTGATCACGCACTCACTTTGGCTCGCACACTAGTGTCAATATAAGAACCGCTAATTTTCCAAACGCAGTACTGTACTGGTTGAAATGCTTTGGCACAGCAGTACCTATTTAGTATCGGTATAGCTAACAAGCCCACAACAGACAATGGCAGTGAAATGGGAATTTTGACAGAACCCGGTTGTGCAAAACCAGGGTTATTAATAGAATAAAAAGAGGAATAAAAATTCAAATTGTGGTGAACAAGGCTCGTAGCAGCGTTGTGGAGATGTTGAACTTCCTCAGCTGTTTGAGGCATGTTGTGCTTGAGAATCTTTCACAAGGAGCAGAACTATATGACGTGGTACGGATGTTGCACTTATAAGGTGTATGTCGACTGCCCTTTAAGATTCAGACTGAGATAAGCAGAAGAAAACAAGACAAGATGTCTGGGACTGTTCAGTGGTGCTGTGATGGCATACAATGGTAAGTGTTGTGGGATAGAACATATCTAGACATTTTGTGGCGACATTCAGGTAGATTTCAGTGATAAGACAGACACGTACAAAGTCAGCCTCTGTCTGAGCTTGTTCAGTCTGCATGCTTGTCACAGCATACCTTCGACTGCTTTGAAAACTGAGTTGGTGGAAAAATTCAGCAAAGTTGGGAAAATAGATAGAACAACGAAGTAGGTTAGGGTAATAGTAAAACTTAAGATACAGGTTTATTACTTGAAAGGAACTCGGGACATCTTAACTAAGCTGAGGGCATTGTTGACCTATCTTACTTACTATCTTAACTAAGCTGAGGGCATTGTTGATACAGGGACAAAATATGTCGGTACCTAGTTAGACCAAAGTGGACAAACACAGCTGATTCTTTTTTTTTTTCACTGTTTGTATCACTATCGTCAAACACAAAAATGTGCTCTCATGCAGAGCACACCGCTCTCACACAGTCAGCTTGTGTGTCAGCTGTTAACACTTAAAGTGCACTAAAGAATTTAACTAGAATTGTGATTGCCACAGGGTGTGTGACCTCAACAATCCCGGTGTCCTTTGCATTTTGTACACACCCAGCATCCTCGCAAAGGGTTTGCATCTTGTCCCAGAATCAGAGTATGAGGAAAAGCCGTGCAATAAAGGAGCACACACACACGCACACACACACAAAGGCATATTATCAGCCACCAGTACTCAGTCAGTACTAGTGATGTTTGATACC